TAGAAAGAAGTAGCAGCCTGACCAGCCATTAAATTAATTTAATGCTCATTAATATAACTATGTGCGTTAGAAGTTACAATTTTTATTTCAATTACACAATGACCTCTTGAAAACAAGCACTCATTGCGGTCGTAAATGTTATCGCAGTAAAAGTTTGCCACTTGACTGGCAAGGCTGCGAACAATCTCACATCGTCAGCTCTATGGGCGAACACTGTAGAGTAATGAAGTGGTAATCAGTAATTTTGAATGCATCTGACCATGTCAATCACTTAAAGAAACTGTATAAATGTCAAACAAACTAGAAGTGTAACATTGAATGGTGGGCATGCCAATTGAAATGGCTTAATCTTTCACATTTACACGCGCTTAAATGAATTGTGATGTATATATATGTAATAGGCAAGTATAAGAATTTTCCACGACCACATGAAGGGCATGCTTCAAGAACGTGGTTAAAGTTATACCATATAGCCATAATACTTGAGTTCGCGAGCAGGTATTACTTTTCCTTTGTATTTTTGATGAATTTGTGTTTGATTGGGCTTGCTGCATTGTTGGCATAGTATAAATACATACAAATAAATAGGAATTACCTATCGTGTAGATCCCATAATGAATGATAGGGTGTATGACGGAATGTGGACAAGAGCGGCACAGCGACTTCGTACTCCACATGTATGTCGTTGGTGGGCATTTGGCGTTCGAGCGATGGATTCGAATTGTAAACGGAACGTTTCTGTAGAAAAGTGTGATGTACGGGCGCGTTTGGGGGTGGCGCTGCGGCTGATGGTGGTGTTGCCGTTAGACCACCCACACCGCCATTGCCATTATATTGCGTTGCATTTGCATTGGTTATGGCGGAGGTGATGTTTTGGTCGCCGAGCGGCTGTTCCAGTGCCATGCCCAGCCAATTTTGAGCGTTCATATTAAACATACTGCGTATTTACGCAATTTTATTTTTTTAATTATTATTATTTTTTTTTTGTATATACTTTCTTTAACTACTTGTATAAACATAAAATAACTGTTGATTTTTTTGTTAAGAAATCATTTTCAACACTTTGCACTACAAACGCTGTGACATTGTGTTGTGGTGCGTAACGGTTGTTAACGGTGGTACGCGCGAGCTCCACAACAAATTATTGACCATTTGCCGCGAACGCTAAACACTAACTGACCAACTGGGCGCCCGAGGCAGCGGTCATTGGCGGCGTCGCGCCAACAATGGTCATTTGCACAATAGAAATGCGGGAGTAACGGTTGTGGAGGAGGTGGAGGAGGTGGCGTTGCGTCGCACCGTGTTGTGCCACAACAAAAAAGCCGCTTTCAGTAACTGCACAAGCAGTTGAAGAAAAAAGTATATGCTAAGCACAAATTCACACATACAAATATGCACATGCATATGCACATGTGTTAGTACACTGGCTTTGAAGGATCTCCATTAATATTCTACATACAAAATTACCACTCTTTAACTGGTTGCATGAGCTTACATTTAGTGGCAGCACTGGCATGGTTAAGCATACTCATACACACACATGTACAAACATACACACACAAACTCATATGCATGAGAATATTTTTGGTTTGCAGCACTTGGATACATTGAAGCCGTTGACCACTTGTTTATAGCTTTTATTGTGTTTACTATATATAGAGACGTACAACAACAATAACACACACACACATACAGTTGGGTATGCCAAAACACACTCGTTTGTTTCCTGAATTTGTATTGAGGTTAAAGGAAGTGGCATTTGTGCTGCTTTTGACTTGTTGTTGTTACAATTTCAATCTGTGTTATGCTTTACTATGCTTGGGTCTCTGCAAAATTATATTTTCGTTGTTGTTTTATTGTATGCTTCCATGAAATCGGAAGTACTTATATTTCCTCGTGCTATTGCCACTCGTGTAGGTTTCTTATGGCTGAAAGTTTGAGCTTTTTTTTGTAGCTAATTATTGTTGTTGCATTGTTGCTGATACATCGATTTTTCTTGTGGTTGTTGTCGCACGCATAGTTAGTAGACTAATAATATTTTCGACCATATTTTTGCAATAACAAATAAAAGTTTGTTAATACTTGGACTTCGTAGAATTACAGTAGCACTTCGTTAATTTGAATTAATTTAAATTAATTACCAAATATTTATTATAAAATATGTAAATTTTTCTTGAAAGGTGAAATATATATTTTTTATAGTCTTTGACTTTTGGAAATCAATAATCTAAAGACATTTCTTATACTAGTTTGTGATTTCTTGAATATATTTGACAAACTAAAGGGCTGCTAAACAGAAAATGCCAGAACCTTTCAGAAAGTGCACTAACTTTTCAGAACCCTTTAATTGCAGATCTTCTGGAGATCTTCCTTTGCTAAAAAAATGTAATCAGGTAAGTTCATAATGACCCAAAACTAAAAGAATTAAGTTCTCGGCAGTATGAAGGTTTCTAATCGATAATCGAGTCGATTTTGAGAGTTGCTGATCTTTAGCAAAATATTTTTACAGAGACAATCGATGAAATTATTCCACTTCTCTTCTGTCTCCTGTTTATTCATTTCCCCCTACACATTTTTTACTCTCTTAAGTTTTATCGCTATTATTGTCGTCGCGCATGCTCTCAATCTCTTGGCGAAAAAATTAGCGAAATTTAGTCTATATTCCCCCATAATCTATRTACTATATTTGGTTCATTCATCTTTGTTGGATATTTGGTCGAACTTTTTTCCCATATGTATGTCGTGGGCTTTTTGATATGAACTCACAAATGAAGAGTCCCCTTAAATTTATCCTGGCTCAAATTAACTGACAACTGATAGGTCCTTGGGAAAAACCTTTTCAGAAATGAATGTTTTGCCTCGGCCGCAACTTTGTATCAAATACTCAACAACCCACCCTTGTATTTTGCTAAATATACCGTTAATTGCTCTTTGGCATGAAACAATTTGATAGGTATAACATGCAAATGCGACCGGCCGACTAGCCAATGTGACGTCTTTCATGAAGTTAATATTTTTCACAAACATTTGTCGGCGACYAGCAAATTCTTGAATCAACTAACTTTATTTTGAATGTAAATGTGTGTGTATGTGCCAGGTAATGTTCGAAAACTATGTGAAAATTTGACCATAACTCCCGACTAAAGTGCGCTAAACTTTATGGTACTACAATTGTTTAGGAACGTTCAACTAAACTAAATGTCCAGAGCAGCGAACTCTATATTTTTAATAATTAGTATAGGGCTATGTGCGTATTTTGTGAGTTTGCGGGGTTTTTGCAATTCATCAAAAATTTTCCAGCTTTAACAGATTTCCAACATGTAAAAAATAGAAAGAGACAAGCATTACAAGCGTATTTTCCAGATCAACCTATCACTTGTGCTATTCAAAGCTGAAGCGATTTCCTTCCATTTCTGGCCATAATGAACGTGTCTTTAACTCTAAGCAATATAGTCTTTTTAAAGACGGAAAGTGAATCAGATGCTTAGAAATGAAAACTAAAATGATGACATATGCGACGGAATGGTTTGTTAAGTTCAATACTTGATCCACAAGATTTTAATAGTAACTAGGTCTAAACTGCCACGAAAACCGAACCGAGGAATTAAATGTAACTTCAGACAGGAGAGAAGAACTGGTAACTTTTGCATTCAGGAGTTTTATTAAGAATAAGAATAATACCAAGCATTTCTGTACGTTACGTAATTGTAGGTAGATTTTTAAGTTTTAAGCGACTAGTGTATGGAGGAAGACCCAACCAAGACATAAAGTAAAAATTGCTTTGAACCGATTCTAACTTGTTAGGATGGATTTGGTAACTACTGTTCCATATTAGAGATATATCTTAACACCAAACTAAGTTCTCGACACCTGACAGTCATCTCGATCTAAGTAGTAAAGATGAAAGAAATTAATTACTTAGTTCAAAGGTTTAGAAGATATAGCAATCGAGTGAGTTCTACCAATACTCTCCATGATGAACTATAAATACACAAATTTCTGACTATCGCTGATCAGAAATTAAAAAAATGGAATTGATTAGTAATGTTGAATGTTGTCTGTTTCTAAAAAGCTGAAACTCTAATTTGATCAATTGAAAAAAAAATAAAATAAATAAAAAAATTATAATAATAAAAATGCTGATTTTTTCGAAATATTTGAAAGATTGAGTTTACAGGTTGAAGCAGTTTAGGAGGAAGCTCAAAAAAAAAAAATAGTTAACCCCCGATATTTTACCATATTAATATTACTAAAACTAAACCATGACCTTTTCTAGTGTTTTGGTATTTATTTTCATTTTCACATGTGTTTTAAGGAACACCTTCAGAGTGACTCAAGTAAAATTCTCTAATTTTCTTTTAAAAGTCCAACGAAAAAATAAAGATTTCGACTATTTGCTTCAAGTTTCAAGGTCCCTAAATACAAATACAACTATTGTGTAACATATTTGTAGGCGTCAGACATATAATATGAAAGTTAAATATTATTAGCCGTTTCGCCATTAAGGAAAGTTTTGTGAAATATTAATAAATGAAAATGAATTTCTTCTGGGCACACAAACACAAATGTCTACACACGTACAAACTATATTTGTGTATATAAACAACTCAAGCGTCATTCGCTCAGGGATTTCGTAATGGCATATAACAATAATTGCTTGTTCTGGGGGCTCTGCAGCCGGCAAGAGGACCTCAAGCTGTTCTGTATGTTGTGTATGGCCTTCGTTATGTTGATAGAGCGAAAAGCTGTTGATGATTTAGAGATGTTGACATTTAATGTGTCGGAGAAAAAATCAATTTTTTGCAAGGCACATAGCTGCATGGATATGTACATATATATATACATATAAGCATAATTATCTAAATATCTCTATATACAGATGTATGTGTATGCCTATATGTAGGTGTATGGATGTAACTTGTCTTAGAAAATCAGTGCTAAAATATGAATTATTCTGCCCATTACCGTTACTTATCACTTTTCCAATTATTGGCACTCACCCAGGCAGCAACGGCAGATAGGATGTGGTGGAATCCAAGGTGCGAATGGCAGTATTGCCTCGCAGCACCAGCTTTTCGCGTGTGATGCGTCGATATGTTTCCTCGCCTCGCTGCTTTGAAGACATTTTCGCTTAATTTTACTCGATATATTTTAAAACACTTGCAATTTTTTTCATGTTATACACAATTCTTCAAAAGTTAATAAATAAAGCATATTTTTCGGTTAGTTCCATGCACCGAATCTTCATATGCTTATTTGCTGTATTACTGTGCACACACATTAGATTTTATTATAATAGATACATTTTTAATCTAATTTTATTTTTATGTTTTGCATTCTTTGCTCCGAGCTGCGCTCACATATGTCCTATGACCCTCGATTCTACTGCAATACTGGTGTAGTTTTGAATTTTCACCGCAAGCCAAACAGCGAATTGGCCAATATACTTACAGAGTATGCACATAAGTCCATACATATGTATCTGTCTGTACATTTGGGCTATTCGCCAAACAGTCAGCGCTGCTAAGTACGCTTCGTTGGCGGATGCTGTGCGACGAAGGCGAATTGGTTGCCGGCAGTGCAAAGAAAAACAATGTATACTATATGCATTTACGAAAAGGCTAAGAAATAATAGTCGACAACAACAACAACAACAAAAACTTTTGGTATAGCCTATGCGCAGGCTTTGTTCGGACTTAAGGATAATTTACACTCAGCTTTCACAAAAGAGAGTTTAAAACCTTTGATGCTAATAAATAAAAATATTTTTTTCTTTTGTTGATTTCACAATTATGTAAAAGTACGTATATATGTATGTAAATTCATAAAACTTATATACATATATTATTAATTTTTCGTTGTGCACTTGGCGCTGTTGCACTGCAGCACTGCAGCACGTGCCGATGGCGACTAATGCAGTCCAACGCGCTTCGACGATTTTTTACTGACCAAACAGTGAAAGAGCCACTTCCGTTTAGCCAATATTTATACATACATATGTACATGTGTATGCATGTAAATATAGTACTATTACATATCGCTTTAATCGCTTGGGGTTGCAAAATATCCGAAAGCTTGTCTGTCTGTTTATACCGAAGGGACAACATCGCCTGACCACTGCTCACTGGTCAGTAAACGGTAAAGTGTGACAGGAGCATTGCAGCGAAGTAGAGCGTTGGAGCAAAATCGTTGGTGTTGGTGGTCGCATTCATCAGGCTGGCGCATTATGTCACTTTGTAGAAGTTGTTGTATGTTTTGATAAAGTCAAGTACAACAACAAAAGGTTGAGCAATGAATACAGTGTGTAGCACAAATTTTCCTCCATAATAAATATTTGATTGAATAAAAATTCAATGTTCTTGACTTTTCGATAAAAAAAAAAACAATTAGTAAAAAGTTTGTGTCATAAAAATTATCGTTTATTCGAGCAGCAATTAATTTTTATGTTGCAAAAATCGCCAGGTCAAGTAACCTTGACAGATTTTTTCGTGTACAAATTTTGTATCCATAATTTCACTCTCGATCTTCTGATACCTTGTTAGGACTTTTCAATACGATTTTTCTGTTGTTGTTATTGTAGAACAGCTTCAGAAAGATCACGAAAAGTTTTTTAAAGTAATATTAAATGATCCGTTTTAGTTCGATATAAATCTTGGGCCCCTTCTGTTTAGGTAGATTATCGTAAGAACAGAAAAAGAAATCGCATTTCGTAAAGCTCTGTCCTGAGCTGCCCAAATTTTTTTGTTTTTGTTCTGCTATGGTATGGTAAAAAAATCGTAAAGATGGTTTCTTTCATTCATGGGAAACTATTTCGTGGCAGTAATTGGTACATTTCAGTTTTGCTCTCCCTTGGCTCTCTGTGTGAAATGGATCCTTTAGTGAGCTCGTTAAATGTAGTATATATAATACGTTATTTAGTAGGCGTCAGAACACCTTTGGGTCAAGGTATACAAACAAATAAATTAAAAAATAAAAAGTATTGATTGTTTAATTATTTACGTCTTGGCATTGATCCCAATTGCCATACTAAATAAATGTGACAAAAACGAGTCATTAAATGCTCACTGGCGATTATATATACATACATTAAGCGTGTACGGTTTATTTTCGTTGCACTGCAATGACAAATACCCAACGAACATATTTACCTTGTACAGAAAACTTTTTTATTCGACAAATTATCTTCAGGAAATTCGGTTTAGATTATTATCCAAGTCATCGCTACCTTCTTTGAACATATTGTTCAGATCCAACAAACATTTTTGTAAATGGCACATTTTTGATAGAGAGAGTATTCTGTTAAAACCTGATTATTGGTAACACAACATCTCGTGGCTATTTTCTTTTAATCATATTTTTTCTATGCCTTCCTTGTACTTTTAACACAATTTTCAAATGAAAAATAAGACAATTGAAATGCTTTTAACCCACACAAAATATAATAGCTTTATTATAAACTTAATTTTTTTTTCAATATTATTTTAGTTGACATTAATTGAACAGCACAAATTGACATTTCATTTTAGATATTTTCATGTTTATTAAATAACTCTTCATTTAAAACCATTTTGTTACCCACTCCTTGTTTAAGTTATCATTATTTTATACTTTTTATATTGTTTTTGCATTTTCTAGTGCAACTGTTCCAAAATGAACAGCTAGTGCCTTAGAACACAAATAAGTACATATATACAGGTATACGTACGTCTGTAAGTATAAGCATATTTTTGTACAAAAGAATAGTTGTTGGCCCTTAATGGGAACTTATAGATGATGTTAGGCAGTCCGGAGTTTTTTGTTTGTAGAATACACCTTCGTATATTTTATAAGGAACTTTAAACGCTAAAAATAAATATTTTGAGTATTTTAATAACGCAATGACCAAGTACACAGACGATTATTATGAGTTAAAAAATATATTCTATTTCACTTAATTTATATTTTGCCAAAGATATTAAAATATAATTTTTGAAAAAATTTAATGGAGAAATCTATATGTATATACATACATTGCACTTCTTATTGTACATTGTACTTAGTTGCCTTTAAAATTTATTAATTTTTTTATAGATTTGTGCAGACTCCAGTTGATATACCTAGTAAGACATATTATTTTTAATTGCTAATTCGCAAATTTGATATAACACATTAGTGGCTATTTCATGTGCGAAAAAATTAAATTGTGCTTGAATCCATACTTTTTTCGATATTTTGCAGTATTCACACTATCTGGCTGATCTATGCAGACAATATAGGATTAAACAAATAAACTGTAGGTTTTCGAAATTATTGATTGGGTAAGATTATCCAACCGTAAGGTTATAAAATATCTGTATGACTTAGTTATACATTGGGGCGAACGTGTTGAATGCACTGACAAAAATAGACTCAGAATGTATGGAATGGCGCACAATTTTGGTTTGTAGTAACAACTTTTTTATTGGCTTCTATTTAAAATGTTTTTACGAAAAAACTTGAACATGATTCCAATAGTCAATTGGAAAAATATTCAATGTGGAGAGTATATGAACGTAAATATGCAAGCAGACAAGATATAATTGTTAGACTTAAAAAATTCACTTTAATCCGAGAATGAAAACCATATTGAGCATAAAGAACAGTTGTCTTAATCAGACCTAAGTTGACCGTCTGCATAAGATGGACATTATTTTATCAAACGTTTTCAAAGTGCGTAAATCCTTTGTTTTAGTTTTGACCTATTGAGACTTCTTTATAGCGCTGCGCATACGCCATGCTCWAATGCATTTGTAGGCGAAATACAAGGTAAAACCGTGTAACTGAATAGCGACTGCCGAGAAGCCGTACCACAATACTGCGTAAGGCATACCCTAGAATTTTAAAACGGTTAGTCTTGTGATAAAAATCAATGTATAAGAAATGTTTATGACTTACGCGCCATATAAATATATCAGTTTCCTTTATATCAGTTTTCTCATCTAAATTAATATATTCCCAAAAATCTCTAAAGTAGTAAGCAAAGCAGTAGCATACGGGTACAACGCCAGTTAACATAATGGCTATCATATATTTTTGCATTTCGCGAATGCTATTGTTTAATATTGCTGAAAGAGCAAAATACATTGTAAACACCGATGTCATCCAAACGTATTCCCACCACAGCGGTTTTGGCACCTCAAGTTCTTCCACCTCCAGCCAAAAGACATCTATGCGATCCAAAAAATCCGGAGACAACTTGGTCACCATAAAAATAGAAAGTACGATATGATAGCAAATACAAAATTTTACACGCTTTTTGCCTTGCAAACTGTAGAAAATATAAAAGAAAAATATATATAATAATTATACCTCTTATTTATTAAAAAAAAAAATGTGTATTCCATAAATTATTTATTTAAAATAAGGTAATGATATTCGAAAATTCAGAACAATAAAAAACCAAAACAGCAAACAAGCAAGCACACGCACATGTATCACTGTGCACACTTTCGCCGCTACGCTATTTTGTTGCTCCGAAAGCCCATGTCACTGAGTGTGCGATTTAGCAGCGGAGACGCTATCGACAGTTCCCAACTCACGCTTGTCCATAATCACAAAATGTAAACATAATCTGGCAATTGGCCAATGAGAGAGCACAGTAATCAGACAATAGGAGCAGCGCCCTGTAAAAGAATTTGCCTGCAAACACTTTCCCCATAAAAGTGCAGCCTTCGTCTAGCCCCTCGAAATACCGTGAACACGATCGAATTAGCAAACGCTTGCATGCCTCTACATATTATTAAATTATGCAAACTATTTGCTAGCCTGAACTACTAATGACATATTGAAAAGTTACTTCTTAAGCTTCTATGTTAATATGTGATAACCAAATTTAGTAAAAGGCCGTATATTAACCTCATACGGTGTGGGGCAGCCACACGTTGCCTGTATTCGTAGTCAGCGCCATCGGTACCAGCCACCATAGGCCCACCACGAGATGCCATATTCAGATTATGTACGTGCTATCAATGTTGATGTATAACCGACTTTCTTAGGAAGTTGTTCTATATATTTCCTAGGACTGCTGTCGTAGGTTACAATAACATTTCACTTAGCACTGTAGAAATATAAAATTCGTTCGTTTGTTTAAAATATTATAATCGGTGGTATTTTATGCAAAGTATACAGTTTGAGTATACTTTGTTTAACGGGAATAGAAAAAAATATCACCGTCGAATCAAAAAGAAAATAAGTATTCGCCAAAATAAAAAGTTGCTACGCCATAAAAAATGTATAAGAAAAGAATTGCTCACAGGGTGTTAGCGAGTTTTTTATTATTGGAAAATGCAACAGGCAACTGTGAACAGGGTGACAATTTATTGCAAGCCTTAATAAATATATTTAATGTGATTACTTCTTTTAAATACTATATTGCCGCTTCTATTTATAACACAATTATATTTTATTGATTTCGTTAAAATTCAGTTTTATAAAAACTTATATATGTAATTAGTTTAATTTTTCATTTCCAAGATTGCGTTAATGTTTCTGTTTCCGTTCCATTCAAAACCGTTTCCTCTAACGAACTTTTCATTATTATTTCAGGAAAGCGCGTTTTTTGATATATTGGTTAAGTAAATTTGGAAGACGTTTATAATATTTATATTAAACAATTAAGAAATTTATGCATATGTTTTTAACGTGGGTGCACAGATTATACTGCACAAAAAGAAATTTAGAAGTTGTTTTGCATTTAAACAAAATACTGACCAAATGCTTATTATTATTACTATTGTTATATGTGCATATGTATGTATACATTTGTATAAAGAGTGGACGTCCATACCCTTGTTATGAATGTACTAATCGGTTAGTTCCTCTGTGCATCCATCCAACTGTCTAGCCATTCTAGACAGCGTTCGCCGCCGCCGCAACCGCAAATACCTGCAATGTGTTTATATATATGTATACAACGCAGCGCCGAGTTTGACTGCAAAGCAAACAACGTGGTCGGCGTCGTAGCATGTTCACTAAGTTGGAAATTCAGTGCTTTTGAATACTTGGCGTAGTCGTGAAGTGATCGCTCTTCAACAACACTTAATCGCTTGAAAGTTTGATATTTTTCAAAATAATTTTTAAAGAAAATTACGCCCACAAATTGAAATTAAGTATATTTATATATGATTTTCGAAAAAGCAAAATAAGATTTTCGTCTTTCTTATAGTGAAATATGAATTTAAATTAGTGAACACATTAATAATTAATATAAATACGGCATCTTTGCGTTTATGTGGTTAAAAGTACTGTTTTTAATCGAAAATTAGTAAATAGTGAACGAATGCAGTGATAAATACTGGAGTGCAGTGAATAAAAAAAAATATTTTGATATTTGTTAAAAATTTCTAGGCGTTCTGCGAGAAAAGAAGGTAAATTATTTTATTTTATATGTAGTGTTGTATAACGTACAATTTCACTTAGGTAATCAAATGATAACATTTCGCAATTACATTTTTATTTTTTCTGCTAAATTTAAATTATAAACAGATTTTGTAGTGTTTTAAGAAATAAAATATTATGGGTAGTATATGTAATTATTTTTCTGTGGTACGTGTATTAATTGAATTTTCTAAGCTTCGGTTTGCCGACACAAAAATATTTCTAAAAATATTGTTATTTATTTGCAAAATGTGTTTTTGCTCTTTTCTTTTATACTTTCTCGGTTTGGTAATGTTTTTGTTTTCCCATTTCGCAATTCGTTATTTAAGTATTTTGCCGCCAACGAAAGTTGCTGCATTTAACAAAGCAAAAATATATAGCTTTTACTAGGCTTCTGTGTTTAGTATATGCTCGTACATACATACATGTGTACACATCTACCGAGTTGCATCCACCTGCATACATATAAAACCACATAATATGAATTGACTTTGACTGGCGTTTAATAGGAGAGTGTGTGATCATGCCTGACAGCCTGGTTGGCGAGCATTGCCATCACTGCAACATACACGTTGAGATTTTGCAGCAATTTAATTTTTTCTATTTTTGTTGCTGGTGTAGAAAAAGAAATTAATGTAAACAATAACAAAAAAATCGGAAGAAAAACGTGTCTTGATTTTTATTTATTTTTCAAAGAGCCCAAATGTTAAGACTTTCTGTAGCGAAGTCTAGGTGTTGCCGTGTTAGTTTGTTTGATTGTATGTATGTATSTAAGTAAGGTTGTAGGCATGTGTGTAAATATTTTTACTAAGAACTTTTCCTTTCTTCGTTTAATGCGCACACATGTAGAACATATGTATGTATGTACATATGTACATAAGCATATGCATGAGCATATTTGTGCGTCAATATCACAGCACAAATGACTTAAAACAGTTGATTTACCTTTTAATGTTTGTATAGATGTAGCATGTAAATATGTAGCTAAGCATGCATATTTGTGCATATGTAAATATTTGAATTTTTCTCACTTGTGTGTTTGGGATTGGAAATTCGTTGTTTTTACACAGAAACACAGGCATACATACATGCTATATATTTATGTATATTTATATATGTATATGTATATTTAGACGTTGGTCACTTATTGAAGCACGGAAAACTTCTTCCCCCTCTCTTTTAATAGCATAGATAGTTATAGGGAAATTTCAATTCAACCAAATTAAAAAAATCATGAACGAAAAAATTACAGGCTGATTGCCTCGGTTTCATGTTTTGTGTGCTTAAAACTTTAAATTTATTCATACATATTAAGTATGTATGTATGTAGTAATAACCCTTAACWAGTTATCTTTACTAATTAAATATGCAACGTATGTATTTTCCAATACCAAATATGTGTTTTATCCGTACTATTTTGGAACAACAGAAGAGGTCACAAAAATACAACACACCAGATATTTTCTTGTAGTGAAAAATACATTTCAAATACCATTTAACGCTTCACTGATATTTTTAAATATGTATACCAAACATACTTGTATACGTATATTTATGTGCATACATATGTACATATGTAAAAATGTTCATATGTTCATTATATGTGAATATTTTAACTTAGCTGTTAAATATTGGGTAGGTGAAAAGGTCTTTTCTCAATAGATGTAGTTGCAGTCGTCTATCTTCAGTGATAAAAATCACGTGATATCCGTACTATACCTTATAGTGTTGGAAAGATTAAAAAAAAAAGAAAAAATTAAATTGGGGGAAGTTACAAAAAAAGTTACATCTGTTCAAAAATGAATGAAAATAATTAAAAAATTCGCTATATTTAGAAATTTTTGTATAAAAAAGGGAAGAGTGCCACGCCAGCCACCAATGAAGGTTCTGAAGTAAGACGATGTTTTATCGGTTCGTGTACCACAACAATGGTTCGCTCGCTTCCACTGTGGAAATTTTGAAATTTTGATTTACACTGATGGATTAATGTATCTAGCGGAAAAATGGTGGCAAACAGTGTCGACTAAAATGATATATATTTGTTTATTTATTTATTATTATAAATAAAAATAAAAAAAAATAAGTTGAAGTTTGGTTAGCAATACGAAAAGACTTAATATAAACACAGCTCTTGAATGTACTATAGAATTTAAAAGAAATGTATGGAAAAAATTAAGGATACCATATTTTACCCACCACTGTTCTTGTAAAGTTATTTTTAATATACTTATGTACATACATATGCTTATATACATACATATATTTTTTGGATTGTTATATGTATGTTTATGCGTTATTTTTGGCTTTGAAATATTCTAGGTCATGCCCTATTTATGTATGTATTTCGTTGATATAAAACGAAATATAATACTAAAAATACAAAATTTGTAATAAAAAAAAATCAATATTACGGTTATATATATATATGTATGTGGAAAACAGTTCCAAAAATTTTGTTATCCACAAATTTTTTTTGAATATACAAATATATTAAGTAGCAGATAAGGAAAGGTAACATTGTCCACAATGTTTACCAAATTTGACCCTGAGTTTATTATGTATTTATGTATGTAAATGCAATTTATAAGTAATTATAATAAATTATAGATAACTGTTTCTATACCTTTCTCACGTATTTCAAAATGAAAGGAATTTTATGTAAAATTATGATATCTCATTCGTAAAAATGTATACCAGAAAATACATACATATGTACATACATACATATATAATATAAAAAATTATATGGGTATGAATATTTGACTTACAAAGCGGGAAGTGCATATGAAGCATGGGATATAGAATTTACATTGCCCCTAGGAATTTCACATATATTGTGATTCTTTGTTAATTTGTATTCTTGTAAAGATATTGACCTATAACTTCTGAATAAATATTATTAGCGTGATATTTTAAACTTCTCAAAATAAGTGTTAAACCCGTTTTGTTAATTGTAAAATATTTACTCTATAACTTATTGTTGTATAATAATCTTTGGGACCCTCGTCCCGGCCAACCGACGCGAGGGGAGCAAAACGCAAATGAGCGAAAATTTTAAAATTGAAGAACTAAACTGCCGGTTAGGCGAACGGGGAAGTTCAAATTAATATCAGACAATAAAGATAGACTACAGACCATTCGTAAGTTTTACAAGAAATATTATATACTAAGCATTTCCCTGCGACCAGTAGCCTAGATAGATTTATAAGTCTGAAACGATTAGTAAACGGGGGTGCTTTAAACCGGAATCCCAATGTAAGTGATTTAAAACAAAAAATTTTTTTTTTAAACGGACTCTAACTTCTCCGAATGGACTTGATAACTAGGGTTTCATATCATGAAAATGCCAGATAAATAATTTATTTTATTATCGAATATTTAGAAGGCAAAACTAAAAGTTGATTAAAAATTTTTTTTAAACTATCTTTAGGAAAAGCTGTAATTCTGATAAAAAAATATTATATTATTTAGTCATTGCTAAGATTCTATATTTCTATATTTAGATTTGGAAGCAGTTGTGCTTGGTGTTTAGTTTTATAGTTTTTTTGCGTTTAAGTTGAGTATTATTCAAATAATTTAATTCAATAATCAAATAATTAATAGGTGACAATATACTTTGTTTTTATACTCTCGCAACAAAGTTGCTAAAGAGAGTATTATAGTTTTGTTCACATAACGGTTGTTTGTAAGTCCTAAAACTAAAAGAGTCAGATATAGG